CTTGTGTGTAAATATATCTTTTCTTTTAAAACATAATATAGATACAACTAATTTAATAAGTTTTTTCATATTATATGTCTAGTTCTATTTTTAAAATTTTTTATTTTTAATTTCAAATCAAAAAAATAAGAATTTTAATAAATATATTATATAATACATTAATTTTAAATCAAAAAGTATACCAAATAGCATTTATAAATTATATTGAGATAATGATACTATATTTAGTAATCTTATTTTGAAATGCTGATTGTATGATCATCAACTAATATTTTTTTCATGCATGATTTACACGTTAAAGTTAAAGTGTTAAACACAAGTTTTCGACAAGCCTACCCAGTACCCAATAAATAATTATAGTTAAATTATGGTTAAATGAGTTGTGTTCATAAACTACCTTGATTTGGTTATGTGTTGCCAACATTCCTACTAATAGGGAGTCCAATTTCTGAAAAACTTTCCTAATATTATATTACTCATATTATTGTCCTTCAAAGAAAACACTCCATAGAGTTTGCAAAATCTTTCAGGTTATGTTTTGGAACACATATTTGTATTTAAAGTGCGTATTTTAAATACATATATTTGAAAGGGATTGGTATTCATTTGTCTTATCTCTAAAAATTTAAAAGAAAAAATGAAAAAAAACACTTTAATTCATGCTTTAAAAATAAAATATTTTAATTTTTTTTCAATGAGTGTTTATTAAAATGATGTAGTTTTGAAATAATATTCTTCTTAATATTTAAGAGGTAAGGTAGATAAACATTATTTCCTATTTGAAATATATATTTTAAACATATATTTCAAAATACATTGTTTGGATTGAAATTTTTTTTTTTTCAAATACATATATTTTTAAATACAATATTTGGATATGTTAAAATACTATACATTTAAAATTAAAATTTTCTCATAAATTAAATCTACTTTTAATTGTCATTTAAATTTAATAAAACTAGTGTTAATAATTTTGATCTTCGAAAGTATTATTTAAATTGTCTCAAGACAAACAAATTAGATTAAAAAAAAAAAAAGGAACAAATTGACATCCAGAAGGATTATCAACCATATTCTTTAGTAAGGTAGGTTTTCAATAGTGAATTTATGTGATTATTCAAATATTTATAGTTTTTTAAATAAAAAACATCTGATATCCTCTTCAATTAAAACATTACAATTGATTAAAAATTTGGTATAGCAAAAGAGAAAGAACTTCCTCTATTTAAACGTTTTTACATAATAACTAACCTTTTAGATTTCCTTTAAAGGAGATAGAGCACAATTTACAATCAAATTCCCTTTTGTGTCCGTTTAAAAACAAAAAAAGGGAGAGATAAACTACTAAGGAAATCTAGCCTATCTATGTATTTTCTTCTCTCAAATTTTCCTCAACTTTATCGAGAAACAAATAGAAGACGCGTTAATAATACAAAATTCTCATGCTTAAGATCTTACCTTAAAATAAAAATTATTCAAAAAAGAAAAAAAATTACAACCACAAGGATCTCTCAAATACTAAAGCTAAAAAAGACAAGGTTATGTCAAAACATATTTGAGCAAAATCAATACACAAACAAGACCCTCATTATGCACAAAATCAAATTCAAGAAAACAGAGAATCTAAGAACCAGAAAAAAAAAAAAGAAGTAAACAAAAAGCAAGAAAAAATTTAAACACCTATCGGAGAAAACGACGCAGAAGAGAAAGAAAGAAGAAGAACCAAAGCTTTTGTTGTGGAATCAGGGTTTCGTTTCTAAACCAACATTCCTCCAGGTCTCAACTCCCATTCGTGGGCTCCTCCCTCGGCTGATCCGCCACCACCACCACCGCCGTCGCTGCCAAAAGTTGCGGCTGCTATGAGTCATGGGTGACAGCCCAGTCTTCATCCTCATCATTTTTTTCTTTAAGAAAACACAGAAAACAGAGGATAGTTATGACATAGGCTGCAGACGGGTCAATGAATTGGAGTCCCGAGTTGTAGTGTGAACGGCCGGGTCAAACAGACCATCAATGAATGTATTGTGAACTTATAATCAAATCCCACTTACCTTTACCCGTTGGAATTAAGAAAACAGAAAGGATAACTTCCTAGTGATAACCAACACACAAAGTTTGATTTTTTGTATTGAAAAAAACAATAAATGTTTTGAAACAGATAAGTGCCTCATTTGATGAGGTGATATATAACTAAAAGTGGAATGCCCTATTAATATCAAGTGGTAAGGACTCGGGACTCCAATTCATTGACCTGTCCGCAGCCTATGTCGTAACTAGCAGCAGCACAGCAAGTGACCTAAAATTTGGTGGATAAAATCATACTTAATATTCTTATCTCAGCATTCCATTTAAAATTTTTTTTAAATCCAACCCTTAATAAAAAGGTCTTGAGGACTTGTTTGGTATGGGATGAGTAGTTTTATTTAATTTCACAGTTGATAATAATAATAATTATATTAATTATAATATTTTTGTTTATTAAATTAAATAAAACCACTAATTATTAATTTCAAATTGTTAATTAAACCAAACAATCCAAATCTAAAAAATCAATGTTTAATAGATGCAAAAATAGTCATTTTTAAAACATTTTATAACACTCTGATGATATAACTTTAAAAGTTGAATTTATTAAAAAGCAAAAATTGTTTTATAAGTATTTAAATGTTAAGGTTAACACATAAATAAATTAATTTTTTAAAATATACTTGATTAATGTGGAGATGTGTTCTTAAAACTCATTCGAAAAAAAAAAAATTTTGTCTCAAATGCAAAATTGAACCGACAACACATCAATCATAAATAAATAATTGTGATGGTATGATGTACTTAATATCATATACACCATGTTCTATATATAAAATAAAATGATACCGTGGAACTATCTTTCAAACTTCTCTCTCTACTCTAGAACTCTCAGCTTCTAACTACCACCTCCCACAATTTCAATCTTCTTTTGGTGCTCGAAAGCCTTCTAGCTTCTTGAGCTTTTGATGCTTGGAAGCCCTTCGGCTTCTCAAGTACGGTGGAGCTGACCAATTGTGCTCCTATGTTTGATGATCACTTTGGGTGCTCTATCAACTTCTTTTGTGGCCCCTTTTGGTGGTTTTTGTTTTCTTTTCTTTCTGTCAATTGTTTCTTGTTTTGTTTTTATTCAGATCTAGTGGCTAACAAACCAATAACGAAGAATTTGGGGAGGGCCGCCGCTTGTTTCGATCTCCCAATCATAGCATCCTTGAGAACGAGCATGAACTATCTGCAAGAGTAGATTGAAGGATGTGCAGCCATTTGAGAACACTCAACTAAAGATTGTTTCCTTAAAGGTTGTTTGTGTGATTGATGATCATCATCCTTCTTTAAATTTGTCTTCGAACTTGAACTACAGAGCGGAAGCAAGGTTATTCAACAGGTTGTGGTTCATTTCATTTGCTAGCTAATTTCATTCAGAGTCCGCACGCTATAGTATGCTTTTTCTGCGATCTAAATCAAATCATGGCACCATTAAAGCCTGTACTTGGATGACTAGTACTTTGCCGCTCAGGTGTGGGCTTAATATGTTTAAATCAAAGCGGAAGCAGTTAAGTTTGCAGCAGAGGCCGCACATGTACTGCTGCAACTGATGATCCATCCCTTTAGCTTGTGGATCTTGTGATCTTAGTGTGGTCCTGCACTAGAGAGATTAGAAACCCTATCCACTATTTCAACCTCCTAATTTATTAGGTAACAAAATATCTCAAAATTCATGTTATCAAAATCAGAAATCCAGCTAATTAAGGTCAATAAATCAATCTCGAACTCAATTTATAAAGTTTACTTGCATGTTAAATTTTAACAGGAAAATATATTATATATGCAAATACATTCTTATAGCACAATAAAATTTATAATTTTAAGCGATATTATCTGTAAAACTTTATTATGTAATAAGATTGTATCTATATATGATTTCAATGAACTCAATTAATCAAGTGATTTAAAAATTTGTCTCTAATAACATTCTACAAAAGTTAAAAAATTCCTTATATAAATAAAGAACAAAAGATAACAGCACAGCATATTATTATGATCAGAGATTTCAAAGTTTAGTAATTACAACATATACACATAGATAGATTGTAAAGGGCCGTGCAACATTCAAAATCTTGTTCATGCACGGCATAGGGGCAGAGTACCCTGTGGTCCCCTAACATCATGCGTATGATCTCCTCCACACAGGAACTTTGTCTTCAACACTCAAAAAAGGCTACAGACTTTTAAATTTTGCAATGTACTTACGTTTTCTCTTTAATTCGCAACATGCTTATATCATAATCATTAATGATTAATCCGTCAGCAGCGCGTGCAAACCTGTTTATAAACTATCCAATAATTTCAAATTATTTCTTCTATTATTGGAATTCCATTACACTGGTGCAGCAAGTATTAATATTCCCAGCTGCTCACGTTTTCATCCAATCAGGCGTTACTCATTAATTAACCATTAATTGAAAAATACAAAGCAGCATCAATAAGCAGTTCAAATTTCAACACATATAGGTTTACAAAATAATGTTATATAATTTAAATTACACTGAATTACAAAATATTAATTATTAAATAATAACAGACGCTAAGGTCTTTGTCGATCCGAAATGGTAAAACACACTCGTCTATACTCGAAATTTAAGTTTTTAATAATTTGGAAATTAAAAAGGCATGCAATTGAAATTAAACAGAATGATCCTGACCTCGGCCCTGTAAATTGGGTGACTCCCTGTAGTACAACTTGGAGACATGCAAACGTGGTTAGCCAGTGTGGAAGATGGTCCATTGTTTTCTGATATCTTAAGGTCAACAAAACTTAAACTAAGACCCATTATCTCAATAATAATACAGTAATAAAACTACTCATCCATTGATTCGAATGAAAGGAATTTAATTCCTTAAACAAGATCTCAGATTTGAGTCTTATGAATAGAAAAATAGATATTGAGAGAACTTCTCTTAATGAAATCTGATGCGATTCAATTTTAGATTAGTTTGAATTAACGTGGTTACTGTAGAGAGAGCTAGCAACTGGGAAGGCAATTGCATCATCCTAGCATAGGCATTAGGCGGTGCCAGATTAAGGTTATACAGTTAGGGATTTGGTGAATACTAGAAGATTAATAAAAACATACAGTAATAAAAATTTAAATATCAATGAACAGGGCTCTACAGGCAATTAATTCCTAATTCAAACGCAGTCAGCCATTAAAATAACCTAACTTCAGATTCAAAAACTTGAACCACCCTCCTCCCCCACAATATATAACTCACAGCAAAAGGCATCCTAAGCTCCTGCAATTCTCACTTAATTTCCCTCTTCTCCCTTTGAGATCTTCACTTTGTTTTCCCCATCTTTCTTCCAGTACTGCATTACTGGATTCTGATTTAAACGCTTTGTTCTGTCTCCTTTTAGTTACAGTTTTTGCTATTTTTGCTCTTTGAAGTTTTATTTTTTACTTTAAAGCCTAACTTCTTCGGATTGGGAAAATGGCTTTGATCAATATACAGTGTAATGATAATAAAAAGATTCAGAAAATGTTTGCCACAGAGAAAACGCAGTTGATGTTAAAAGATTACCTCAGACTCAGAGACGATCTGAGTTCGTGCTCGTCCGGTGGATTTAAGTCGTTTCCTCGCCGACAATGCTGCACTACCGTCCGATTTCTCCTCGAGATGGACCTTAAAACGAACAACTCCGGCAGCGCAAAACAACCGCTTCTGAAACGGAGTCGTTACAAATCAGCTTTGCAGAGAGCATCCGAAGCTGTGCTTAGTGCGGTCAAATATCTGCCATTTCATTCCGGTAAGCAACTGCAGTCGTGTTCCGTACCAAAGAGCAGAGCTAGAAGAGGAATTTTGCCTTGGAGCTTTTCAAGGAAGTTCCTACGGAGGAGCCTGTGGAAAAATTCCAACAGAGATGACCGAGAAATCGGACGGTGGAGATCGCTCAGTGAACTCCTCCAAGAAAATAACGAAGCGTCGTCCGATCAAAATACAGCTGCCGTCGATGCCACCGCAACGACGATGATCACAGCAACGAGAACGAGCAGTAACGACAGTAACAGCAAGAGTAACGGCAACAACTGTAGTGAGAGTGCATTTACTGCAGACATCTTACCGTCATCCAGCGGTAATTCCGAGAGTTCGGGCGGCACCGACGGCGACGAGATTAAAGAGGAATCACCGGCCAAGGAAGTCAGCAACAGAAGAGGCGCAACAGCCGGTGGGGATTCCGTCAACGGCACAAAGGTAAGAGTGTTCAATTCCGATCTTTCCGTGTTTACGTTAAATAATTATCCTTGTCTGTTGCTGGCCTTATCCTCAAGCAGTCGACAACATATTAATTTCAAATTTTAATAAGTTTTAGAATATTTATAACATGTATTTTAAGAGTATATTTTTATAACATATTTATATAAAAAAATCAAATATGTACTAATTTTAGAATCAATGTTACATGAATAAATTTAATTAGATAATTAATAAATTAAATATTATTTTTTACTTTTTTAAGATTTTTAACTTGTATTATTAAATCACATATTAAAAAAACCCTAAGTTTTATAATGTAGAGTAATTTATATAGTAAAATATTAATCGTTTGATAAAAAATAAAAAATTAATACAATTTGATGTTAAAAATATTAAAATATTTAATAATTATTACAAAATAAATTTAATAAAATGGGAGTTTGTATCATACTCTATATATATTATGTAGTTATTTTTAAATATTTTAATATTTTTAATACTAAAATCCCTTAATTGTTTCTTTTTTCCTGTTTGATAAGAGTTAAATTCCTAATATTATGAATGATAATTTTTATTTTATGTTATAAATTAGTTCTTGTTATAAAAGAAGATTATGTAATTTTAATTCTCGAGGGTGATTTGACGAGAGAAAGGATGTGAAGGGAATTTTGAAATTTACTTGAGGGCGGGAAAGGGTAAAAAAAAAGAGAAGAGGGGGGGCGGACGGCATGGATTTCACGCGCGGGTTGATATAGTGTGGGGGGAAATGGGGAGTACGATGCATCTCGAAACACAGGAATTAAATTCTTCGGGTCTTTCGAGGCGTACGTGATACGATTCCGCTACGCGTTGTCGATTTGCGGGATCCACGGCACTTTTATTTAATTTTAGTTTTCTAGATTTCATTTTTACCCCTGATATTAATGGAGAGGTCTTTGGAATGGTTGGGTAGTTAAATGTTAATAATTTGTTAAGTAAGGGTAGTTTGGAAACAGATGCCTTTTTTTTTTTTCTCTCTCTCTCTTTTGTCAGTCAGGAAATGAGATTTGCTGTTCTTTTTCTGTTTCTGTTACGTAGTACTGTATTATACATAACAAGAGTTATTGTTTTTAAAGAAAAATATTTGGCTGATGGGTTTTTAAATTTTTTTTAGAGGATTGTTTAAATTTTTTTAAAAAATTAATTATAGATTAAAAATTTTATTTATATAAATTTTGTATATTAATTTTTAGAATTATTTAATATGTCTAAGGCCTTTATTAATTGTATAAAATTTAACATTATTAAATATATGTTAATAAATAAAAAAATTTTAATTAAAAAGTTATAAGTGTTAAATTAATATAAAATTGACATGTATGATTTATATAAATAAAACTTTCAATTCGATAGTTAATTTTTAAAAATATTAATTAAAATATATGTTTTTAAATATGTCTTAAAAAATTTTTAAAAGAATGATCTATTATATACAAACTCCTTGGTTTTATCTTATATTTTTAAGTTAATTATTTTTTATTTAAAAATTATGATAAATCAAAGTTATTACATTTATACTAAAAATTAAATAATTAAAATTTTATATAAATAATATTTATAAGAATTATGTATAAATGCTAAAGTTTTTGTTTGTAGTATAACAAATTGGCATTAATAATCCTTTTTGTCCAATAACAAAAGTTTAACGGAACTAATATCTACTCAAAATTATTATCTAAAATCAAAGTAAGATATTGTTCTTCACCTTCGAGTCCAGTAGTTTGTCACAAGCTTTTGTCAAAACATTATTAAGGATGAATATTTGAGTTCTCAAATTCTCCCTTTTCCATTCCCCCTTAGTATTCTAAGAATGATTGTAATATTGTTAAAAAAAAATAAAAATCAAAGTGAGATATCGAAACCTCTCGAGTAAATGTGCAAAAAGAGATGTCAATTTTACAATTTTTTTTATTTAAGAACGTTAATTTTATCAATTTTTAAATAAAACTATCAACTTTCAACATTTTTATTTAAAAATATTATCTTTCAATTTTTTTATTTAAAAATACCAACTTTCAATATTTTGATTAAAAAATTTATTTGCTACATTAACATCATTATCCAATTAATCATTATATAAAAAAAGTTTAAAATTTACATCTTTAAATAAAAAAAAATTAAAAGTTCACATTCTTAAAAAAAAAAATTAAAATTTAATATTTTTATTTAAAAATTAACAAAATTAATATCTTTAAAAAAAATTATAAAATTAACATCTTTTTACCCTTTTACTCGAAACCTCTGTCCAAAAGTTAGTTAATATATATAGATATATATTATTCCTTTTGTCTCTACTGAGATTGGGAAAATGTCATTTGAGTTTGTGATGTATTCTTGTGAACTAATGAGTTGACTGCAAAATACTTTTGACCTCACACTCGTTATAAAAATTGAAATGACATGCAGCAGGATTGGCCAAACGAAGAGGGAAATGAACAGTTGAGTCCAGTGTCTGTACTGGATAATCCATTTGACGATGAGGAAGAGAACAGTTCTCCTTTCCAACGTCACCTTGTCCAAGTGGAAGAAGGTCTTTCTCCCTTGTATCCCTTCTTTCTTCACTTGCATAATTAGGCCAAAATACTAAAAATGTGTGAAAATATTGAAATATAGGGACTAAACTACTGAAGCTTATGCAAAAGACTCGAAGATTCGAGAGTCTTGCTCAGCTCGAGCCAGTGGACTTGGAAAAACGACTTGCATCGTCGGAGCTTGAAGATGAATGGCCGCGCCGCCGACCGATTTCCATTGACGGCGACGGTAAAAGCATCAGTGATGAGTCTAAAAAGGAAAAAATTACTGACGCAGGGGATCTACTCAAGATATTCAAATATAAAACCCCATCAAACAAGATGAAATTGAAGGTGGAGTCTGTGCTGCTAGATTTCTTTAGGGAGAGAATTGTGCAAGGCGGAACAAATGGACAAGGAGAATTTGACGAGAAGGAAACGTTGAAGATGGCAGAAGAGTGGGTTAAAGGGCAGAGTCGAGAGCTGATTTTGGAGTGGGAAGTGAAGGAGGGAAGAAAAGTTTATTTGAAAGACATGGAGAGAAATGGAATGTGGAGAAATTTGGAGGAAGCAAGGGAAGAGGTGGCAGCAGAGATGGAGCTTGAGATGTTGAGTTCTCTAGTGGAGGAGTTGTTAATTTAAATATCCTTAATTTAACTGAGTATCTCAACCTAGTAGGGATGAGATAAGCTCAAGAGTTGTTTTCGCCATTTAGAATGACACTCAGAAAATACTCTTTCAATATTATTTTTTTAGTTCTTATTTTTCTCTAATCTCTAGAGAAAAATATTGCCAAATTTTGAAATATATATTTTGAGAACTTAAGATGTTAGTTCATGTTCTTTCTCTCCTTTCTTTTTTAATAATTATTTGCAACTTAAAATAAAAACTTGTTTGGTT